CATCGGGCTCCCTGCTCGGCGGGGAGTCTGCTTCTCCCTCTGACCCTCCCCCCTCTCATGTGCTCTGTCTCTCATTCTCTCTGTCTCAAATAAATGAATAAAATCTTAAAAAAAAAAAAAAAATGGTGCTCAAAAATTGTAAGTCTAACAACTCAAAGACTGGGGGTTAAAGATGTTTGTTTGTTGACATCTTATGAATTATTTATGGAACTCTTGTCACAGACTGATATTTCAGTCCAAGGACCAAGCATCTACACCACTTCCTTTACCTACCAACTATAATATACTCAGTATTAAATTTACAACCTTTAAATACTAACAGTGGAAACCCTGGAGCCCTCCTACACTGCTGGTAGGAATGTAAAATGGTGCAGCCACTTTGGAAAAAAGAGTCACAGTCTGGTAATGCCTCAAAACCGTTAGTTGCTGTATAATCCAGTAATTCCACTGTATAAATAGAGAACTGAAAACATATACCCACACACACACACAAAGTGTACACCAATGTTCATAGAAGCATTATTCACAAAAGCCCAAAGTGGAAACAACCCAAGTGTCCATCAACTGATGGACAAATGTGGTATATCCAAACAATGGAATATTACTCAGCCATAAAAAAGAATGAAGTACTGATACATGCTATAACATGGATGAACCCTGAGAACATGCCAAGAGAAAGAAGCCAGCCACAAAAGATCACATATGACACAATTCCACTTATAGGAAATGTCCAGAATAAGCAAATATATAAAGGCAGAAAGTAGATTAGTGGTTGCCCAGGACTAAGGAGTTTGGGAGGAAATGGGGAGTGACTGCTATGGGCACAGTGTTTCTTCTTGGAGTGATGAAAATGTTCTAAAATGGACTGTGGTGATGCACAACTCTGTGAATACACTAAAAGCCACTGAACTGTACACTTAAAATGGGTGAATTGTATGATATGTGAATCATAACGCAATACAACTGTTATTATCAACAACAGTAACAATTACAAAGATGAGGGAGACTAAGATGTGAAAGAGCATGTGTGTGGTAAAGTGGGGAGCGAGGAAGCCACCAGGTGGCAAGAGGATAATCGCTAGAGGAGAGAGATATATTGGCATGTGACAATCCTACATGGCATAAAAATTATACCATAACAATTTCATAACTAAAATTTAGTATATAATTTTTTAACTATAAAATGGTCTCATGAAGTCTCCTTATCTCAGAGTCAAATATAATTATTAGATTGCCAGATAACATTAGGTGGCATGCTGATTTTTAAAAAGCATTTTTCACATTACATTTGATACTACACATAAAAACACACATTCTTTCAGACTTGAATTCTAAAGTCGAGATCCTCAAAAATCACAAGACTAGATGCTACTTTTAAGAATTCACATACATATCAGTTTTGTTACAATGACTAGAGAATCTCTAAACAAATTCCCATATTCCTAACTCCACCTGAGATTTTCAACAGAAAGATAAAATAATTTCATTAAAAACCGCATTTTAAACATCTTTATTTAGGCTGACTTCTTAAAAAATTTTCTAACGGACATTAGATTCATGGGAATTTAAAGCTTAAATAACATAAGTACTTTGAGTTACCTTGGGTACCAACAATCTCCATGTGGAGATGGGCAAGTCCACTTGCTGTGGACAAAGCAAGTTTTATCATTCCTTCCACAGTAACTGTATATCTGTTCAAATAATCAAAAAGGGATCCATGCTCATGATAATCTGACACCAACCAGAGCTGAGTCCATGTGCCATTATCTGTAGAGTAGAATAACAATGTTTCAGATGGATTGTAGAACATCAATTTATCTACTCCAAAGTTACCACTTTTTACTCTCAATCCTGAATTCCACAACTGCAACATGACAGTACCTTAAGTTTGAATATTATTTCCTTCATATTTTCACTGTCTTATACTTTTACATACATATCTTTTAGATCCTCTGAGTAAGCCCCCTATTCTTGAGATAAGGCAAGGGTAACTAATCCCATTTAAGAGATAAGGAATCATAGTTCAAAGATGGTGATTTCAAATCTACACAGATGGTAGCAGAGCTGGGACTCCTGAGTGGCTAGAAAAATGTCTGGTTCAGGTGGGGTGCTCAGTAGTTGTTTCTGGAAGGAGGAAGGGAAAGGGGAGTGGGTGGAAGATGAGAAGTATCTGGAGCCTAGTGTAGCCACAGTAGGAATGGAATAGTAGAGGACAAAACTGAATGTGAGCTTAAATGAAGAAATACAAGCTTTAATCACAGACTATACATTCAGTTCACAAAGAAGCCAGATAAGAGATTATTCCAAGGTTTCCATCTTAGAAAAAAATATAAAAATAGTGGTATCATTGACAAATGGTAAAGCTGGAAGAGAAACTAAAATGTCAGGGGGAAAAAAAGCTGGGGCTGAACCCAGTTTTACACAAGGTGATTCTGAACTTCGACAACTAGGAATATGTATTCCAAAAATTTGTTTGTAAACTAATACATGGCTTTGAAATGTGTTTTCCCATGGGAATCATGGTAAAAACTCTGGCTAGGCTTCTAGGTTAGGCTGGTCCACAAAAGCCTATTTAACCTAGGAGTAGCAAGAAAACCATACACTAGGAAGCAGCACAATTCAGTAAAAGATACACATTTGGAGTCATTCTGACCTGGGGGGAACCCAGGGCCTAGTTATTATTGACTATGTGTCCTCAGGTAAGTTTCTTAACCAATGAGGCTCTGTTTCTTCTTTTACACAGCAAGAATACCTTACTTTTGCAAAACTGTTAAGAAGAGTTAAAAAACAGGACAACTGATTAAGCATTTAATGGAATGCATGGCTCATAAGAATTTAAAATGGGCTGTCTCCTTCCCTATTGGTTGTAAAAACAAAAAAAAACCCACCCCAATTAACATAAAACAGATTCTGTAATTTTGAAAGTGGTACTTGAAGGAAAGCATCTCTGATTAGATGAGATTAAGAAAGGTATTTTCAGAAGATTCGGGAGGGGGTTTCTGGGTACTTTCAAAACAATTTAGATACTCATGTCACTAGTTCTTTATAAACTATATATATAAACAAAGCTTATTCTTCATAAACTTTATAAACTGATCCTATTCAAACTTGTACCTTTTCTTTTCCCCGATACAAATGCATCACTATTTCTACCTGCATGCTTATTAACCATGACTGAATTCTGAAAGGCTGACAAATTAAGAGGAACACAGGCAGATCGAAGAAAGGGAGATTTTCTGAGGTAATTAACAAGAGAAGCAGAAGAAGGATATTTAAGAGGCTGTGTAATATAAAGGGTTGTCTGAGGTGGAATTAACTAAATCAGGAGGATAAAGATAAAGGAGAAGGGAAATAGAGTGGATGGGCTAAATTCTGGGCAAAGTCCATTAACCCCTGACAAAGAAAGAAGAGAGTAGGGAAGATCCAAGAGGGTGAGCCAGTTCCCATGGTGACCACCAGATGACAGCACCAGCTTAGCTTGGCTGCTGCCTGAACAAATGGGAAAAGAAAGTTCAGGGCACAAAGGCAAGGGCATTTTGCGCCAGGGTGTTTGCTTGGAATAGGCCTAAAACGTGTTGGGCCTGGGTCAGGTTTGAGCCCAAATGACAGATTTAAAAGCAACCACCACAGCTGAGTTTGAAACTATGCACGTGGCTAAGTCCTTCAAGGGAGCAATTACTGTTTGTAGACTTAGAGCCTTCATACAAATCAGTAAAAAGAGTTTTAGAAAGCAAACACAACTACTAAGAAATAAGAAATGAACACAGAAAATCTAGAGTCACAGAACATTGTTTGTAAGGTTGTTTTAAGAGTTAGAGGGGACGCTAAATGGTGCCAAAGGCAGAAGAAAATGAAAACTAAGGACTTGGTCAAACTATGATCACTGCTTTTGTTTGTTTTTACATTAAGTAATACTAAACTGGTAATAGCCACTGATAAATCACTGCCTACAGCCATCACATCCATCACTGCCCTAAGTCACAAAAAAGAGATAATCAAGGGGCGCCTGGGTGGCTCAGTCGGTTAAGCATCCAACCCTTCCTTTTTGGCTCAGGTCATGATCTCAGGGTTCTGAGGATCAAGCCCCAGGTGGGGCTCTGCTTTCAGCGGGAAGTCTGCTTGAGATTCTTTCCCCTTCCCCCCCCCTCCCTCCCCATCTGCTCATCCCCCTGCTCGTGCTCATTCGCTCGCTCGCTCTCTAAAATAAATAAATAAATAAATAAATAAATAAAATCTTTAAAAAAAGACCTAGATAATCAAATATTAGATGGCTTTTAATGTGATATATATATCAATATATAATATACAATAAACAGTATGTTGTATACAAGTATATAATACAAAATATACAGTATATAGGAAGGCATACAATATTTTCAGGAAACCAATCCAATTACTCAGATTTAGTCTCTAATCCTAACTACCAGTTTTTAAATACAAGGAGCAAGTTCAGAGATACTACAGAAATTCAATCAACACAATCCAAAATGTGGTAAGCCCTACAGGACAAATAATCCAGTTTCTTCAAGAAACTGCAAGAAAAAAAAAAAAATGAAGAGAAACAAAGCAATTTTAAGGGATTTCAGATAAATATCAACCAAATGCCATGTGTGGACTTCATATCCTACAGTGAGTAACCAATTGTTTAAAAAAAAAAGAATATACAACTGCAGAAATGTGAAACTGACTGGATACTGATGACATTTTAAAAATTGACAACAGGAATTTGGTCATGCTGCATTATGATTCCTTAATCTAAAGATACAAAAGAAAGGTGTTTATGGATAAAAAGATATATACCATATCTTTGGCTTCAAATAATTCAGAGAGAGGCAGAGTAGGCAGAATCAGATCAAATATGATTGGCAATGAGCTAATCACTGTTGAAGCTGGGTGACAGGTGTTCTTTATACTCTACTCGCTCCACTTTTCTATATATTGGAAATTTTCTAGAAATAAACTCTTAAAAAAACCCCAATAAATGCATACTGAGAATAAATATGAAAATACAGAAAAGCAAAAGGGAAAATCATTAAACAATATTCCGAAGAAATAAATATTGTTGAAGAAAATGGGAAGGGAGAGGAGGAAAAAGAGGACCATGGTTCTGGCCAATCTCAAAGAGAAAATGATAGCATTTTTTAAAAATAGGAAAGCTGGGAAATGCATCTGATTGCGGGCGGGGCTGATGAGAGTTCTAACGCCGAGTCTCTGATGAAACTACAAAAGCAGCAACTATGGGCACAACAGTAAGAGCCGAAGCCAAGACAGCAGATGAAGTCCAGTGAAGCCACTGCTCCCCATTAGCGCTCATTCTGACTCTCCACTGACTCTCCTGCAGCATCGGACTGAGCCAGGGCCCCAGGCACCTGTATCACAGGCAAGAAAGTGTCTAGATGGTTGGTTATCAATGGGCACGGTGGTCCTGGAGGAACTATTTCTCTATGTAATGGAGTTGATTTAAAAATTTATTTATTTAAAAGACTACCTAGCCCCTGCCAACTTAAAACACAGAATACACTGAGAAGTTATTTTTACTCTTCCTATAAATAAGGTCATTAGTATCTATTAAAATGCCCTAATGGTCATTAGGTCAAAAGAAATTTAAAGGAAACAGATCTCTGGGCTCTAACTTATCTCAAAATTTTGAGCAACCAGAGTTTATAAAACTCTATTTTTTCTATGCTATGACTATACTCAACTTACTAACTGCCTAAAACCAAAATAACAAAAGCACATCCCTTTTAAATTTAAATATAACTCTTTTATCTTATAAAACAGAGATTTAGAAACACGTCAAGAACATCTTTAAGAAGTTCCTGTTTTTTAAGCTTCTGCGTCCGGCTCGGGTCGTGATCCCTGGGTCCTGGGATCGAGCCCCGCATCGGGCGCCCTGCTCGGTGGGGAGCCTGCTTCTCCCTCGCCCTCTCCCGACGCCTGCCACTCCCCCTGTTTGTACTCTCTCTTGCTGTCAAATAAATAAAAAAAATCTTTAAAAAAAAAAAAAGAAGTTCCTGTTTGTAAAGGTTTCTAATATATTCTTTTTGACTTATTGGGTCTAATCTGTATGTCAAACATTTATTTCTCATCAAATCTGACAATGTTTAGTATCCATATTTGTAGAAAGGCTCAAGTAGACATTATACTCAAAGGAGAAGCAGATGTTACTGACCTTTATTGTCTGCTGCTATAAATCCCAAGATGTTTTCATGACGTAACATTACAGTCTGATAAATCTCTGCCTCACGGAACCATGAGCGCTCTTCTCTAGAGGAGAATATTTTAACAGCAACTTCTTCTCCTCTCCACTTTCCTCGCCAAACTTCTCCAAATCGACCTTTGCCAATACTTTCTTGTAACACAATAGTTCTTGCAATTGTTCTCTGAACGAGCAGAGGTAAACCTAAAGATAAAAATAGGCATTAAAGAGTGACAGAATAACTCCAAAAGCTCTGTCTTTAAAGAACTTAACAATCTCACTAAGGAGCGGCAGACTACATTTGCAAAAATAGTAATTCATAATAAAATGAAAACAGGATTATAAATATAATAAAAGAATCTAGAAACTCCTGCCTAGAGAGTCCAGGTAGGCTTTATAAAGTAAGTTGAATCTGACTCTCCTTTACAGAAGGGATAGCACCACAGGAGAAGAGGAAATAAGATTTTCAGGTAGGAGGACTATTAAAGCAAAGGTAGAAGAGGGAAATGAATGAATGTTTACAGAACCAGCTCAGTTAAACAGAAGGGCAATGTGTGTGGTAAAGCAGCAGAAGAGAAGAGAAGCTGTCATCAGAGTATGAAGAGTACTGAATGCTGAGCTCAAGATGACCAATGAGAGGGGTGCCTGGATGGCTCAGTCGGTTAAGTGTCTGCCTTCAGCTCAGGTCATGATCCCACGGTCCTGGGATCTAGTCCTGCAGCGGGCTCCTTGCTCAGTGGGAAGCCTGCTTCTCCCTCTCCCTCTGCCTGCCACTCCCCCAGCTTGTGTTCTCTCAACTCTCTCTGTCAAATAAATAAAATCCTTAAAAAAAAAAAAAAAAAAAAGACCAATGAGAGCTGTGGATTAAACAGGAACTATTAAAAATTTCTGAAAGGTTCATGAATGAGGAGAAGCAATTTAAAAATTGCTTTCAGAAGGATGAATCTGGTAATGGTTTTACTGATGGGAGGAGAAAAGTATGTGAACACAAGAAACATAAAATCAGTATGTACAATCCATACTGATTTCAATAAATCAGTAAAAATTATCACAGAAACCATTTCAAGACAAGCAATTTACGCACTAGGAACTGGCTGGCTGCGCAGGCAACATTAGTATCTTAAAGAATGATGCCAAGTAACTTAATGTGGTGATGGGACACTGGCATTATTTCACCATCTGAACGTGCCCTACTCTAAAATATGTATATAAATTTTTAAAATACTGTCACACTTACTTGTTTACAGAAAAGGATTTATCACTACCTGCAACATTTAAGTATCACTGTATGTGGGACTATTCCAATTCACTTAATATCACATCCCCTCATGGACTAAGTAAGTGTCATCTTAAATTATACTGACCCTGACAATAAAAATACCAGTATAAACCATGTTCTACACTAGTATTTTTTTCATACAATCTATACACATAAATGTGTGTAATTTATAATCTATATTCAGAGTTCCTTGCTAGACCAAATTAAACCAATGGTAGTAAATGAAATTATGTGCTGTCTTTGGTTTCCTGATGTGAAATGCTTCTAAATTCAAACGTTAAGTCTTTAAAGTGATCAGAAGTTTTTCCTCTTTTCATCTATAAGTTTCTCAAATGGGTCCTTTTCCTCTTCTTGTTCTCTATCCTCCCCACCTCCTGCAAAGTAGTTAGCAGTCTAATTATAAACAATTGTTTTTATGTTTATAAGGAGGCTGCTAGCTAAAAACAGATCTGTGAAAAATCCTTATTTAAATCAAGGAGCTCTTTTAATATTATGAATATCCTTAATTGTGTTGTTTAGTATAGATACTAATTTGTAAAATTTTCTTACAGCCTTTGAATGGGGTCATATGATATACTTCAAGATTTAAAGTACACTTAAGAGTTAACTTCAGGAGGCTACTCTGGAAGTTAGAAAGGCAAGGAGTACAGAAGAAAGGGGAATTACAACAAATGGGCAGTCTGAAAATGTCTAACACATTCAGGTCCCATGTAAGTGATATGGTCAAGAAAGCTACCAGGACAAGGAAAGTTTCTGTCTCCCCATTATCACTGGATTCTAGATCCCAAACTAAAATTCAAAGCCAAATCTAGATTCATCATATTATCTATATTTAGTCACCATAACCCACGTGAATACATGAGCACTTTTAAAAAGTAATAATTTTCTTCTAAAGAGAAAAATAAATAGGGCTAATTCAAATCTCTATGTTCTCTGCTTTCCTCTTCTGTATCCTTAGAACTGCTTGAAAGAAAAACTTCAATAGGGAAACAGGGTCCGAGCAGCTTCGCGTGCAGTGAACAATCGAAATAAGACCTGAACATTACCTGCGTACATTATAAGAGATTATAAGCATGAACAAAACATAATGAACAGTGGCCTAAGAGATTCACTCTCTTTCAAAAACTGGCACATGTGCACATGCACACACACACTTTACAATCTAATGACAGCTTAAATAAGGGCACACTCACAACCTGTGATTCAAATTAATGCAACAGGGATTAGGTTAGCTTCAGGCACAGAGCTGCCCACAGTTCCCAAGTTAAAGATACAGTCTTTGAGAAATAGAGATCAGGCCTTTCCTCCACTATGGTCATGATACTAAATAATAAACATATGAATTCATAACATGAAATGTTTAGTTTTACCTTTTCTCAATAAGCAAAAGAACTAAAAAGGGTATTACATAAAGACATTTTACTTACAGTCATGAGTCCCATGCATGAGACAGCATTAAGGCTTTATAATGAATAGAAGGGAAACAGGTGGCATTTTCTGCTATCATTCACCATAAGATAGCCTCTGTCTCAATAAATTTGGAGGCCATTCAGCACATAATGAACTATGACAGGGAAAGGAGGCCTTCAACTAAGTTTTTTTGGTACAATGCAGCAAACTGATACCGTATGTCAGATTTTTCTTCCAAATATCTTTCCAATAAGAGTAACACCTGTCATTTGGACAGAACTACAATTTATCAAAACATCTTGTCTCACTTGAACCTCACAACAATCCAATGACGTGCACAGGGCAGGGTTCTTTACTTTCATTTTAAAGATAAAATAACTTGGGCATGAGACATCAGCTAACTGCCCGAAGCCACAGAGCTAGCAAACAATGTAGACAAGTTTTTGCAGGGTAAGGCATAAAAGAGGGGAGAGAAGCTTTCAGACAACAGAGCTGTGGTTCCTGGTGTATCTAAAAATACAGATAAAATGGAAAAAGAGTGATTTCATTCTTGACTTCATGTCTGTATCTTAAAAAGTAAATAAATGCATTCTTATTCAGAACTCTGCTGCCTTCCAGACAGCAATTTCTTCTAATCCTTTAGGTAGGCTTATTCCCCTGGAGGCCTGTTAGAGTACTACTGTGCCAAGTGGCAGGAGCAGCTGTGATTTCCCTGGGTGTAAGTTTGGCAACAAGGGATTAATTCCAAATGATCTGTAGCCACCCTGATTTCCTGTGACTTTGGTCTTTGCATATCACAGTTTTTTTGATCTAGGGATGACTTCTAGAATGAGCCCGATCTCCTTTGGGAACCCTTTGGACTAACTCAGAATCAACTGGAAACCCTGGGGAAGCCCTAAAACAAGCTCTCTCCACTCCTCTACCACTCCAGCCCAAAGACTGTCACATCTCCAGTGCCAAGGCTGTTCCATCTCAATCCAACCTCTCACTGCCTCCCTGCTCACAATGGTCTCAGGGATCCTTAAAGGCTGCCTTGAGAGACCTGGGTTCCGGTGCAAACCTGTATGTGTCCTAGTGTCATGGATCGAAGTCACTTACTGAATATACATGGCCAAAGTCAACAGACAACTTCAGGCCAAGAATTCAGTTTCTTCATACTTATATGACTCAACAAATATGCATATAAATCAATATATATTCATTTCCTTAAAATAATAGACATTTGTCATTGTGTGAACTTTCTGTAGTATCAGATGTGATTTCATGCTTCAGTCATATTCTTCCTCTGGTCACAACTTCTGCTTTAATGTTCGTTTAGTAACTTGATTATAAAATTAGCGAAATTTTCATTGGGTATATTTTTTCTTTTTTTTTTTTTTTTTTAAGATTTTATTTATTTGACAGAGAGAGACACAGCGAGAGAGGGAACACAAGCAGGGGAGTGGG